GCCTGTAGGAAAGAACATTTTGAACAGCATGCCTTTCCTATGGGCTTGAGGCATTAATTCCATCATCCTTACTGACACACATATTCCCCCTGCCACCTGGCCCAGCATTTCCAATAGAAACTCCTACAAGCTGAGACCTGCTCGTTTATTTTTGTGCAATTGGCTAACATACGAATGCAAACAAACCCCCAGAACAAAAAAAACCCCACAAAACCCAAACACCCAACAAAGTCACAACATATCAGTGACCACATCATCTTGTGGCTTAAAGTACTTATGTCTCTGTTGTGATAATCTGCACTATCAAACCAGTGATGAGACTCTATCTTATTCTAAGCAGTTCCTTGATGCTTTCAATGCAGCAGAGAATGTGTATCTCCTCACAAGGGAAAGTTCCTCTCACAAAGGATTTCAAACCAAAACAAGCATGCCACTTGGAAAAAGTAATTCTAACACGTGACAAAATGGTAACATGGTTAGCTGAGGCCACATCCTCATGGATGGGCATAAATGGAGATCTTGGTAACAGACAGAAATTCAACTCTCTACACACATTGCCAAGGCTGCTTTGGTACATCTGCGTTTGTTAAATGGCAACTTCTGCTTTGTACTAAATGCCCAGATTCACTCAAAATTTTAAGTTTGAAAAGAGATGGATGAGCCACTCATCTAGGAAAACGGTGAAACTGTCAACTTGGAAGGACACTCCTGAAGCTGAAGTGCGCTGATCACCACAACAATATAAGAAAAACCACATAAGAACAGGGAGTGACACATTGTTTTAAGTAAAACATGACATTATTTCATGTTGTTTGCCTTCCTTCATTGCCTTAAATCATACCTTTAACTTGGTGCTTCATAGTAGCATTACAGGGTTTAGAAATAAACCGGGCAGGACCAAAGAGCTCTGCTCTGGGGAGTCCAGTGGCTGCACCACCCTGCCATTTGTCAGCAGCCTGGGGGACACTGCAGGAGGCTGCTGACCCCCTGCTGCAACCAGCCACTTCACGCAGCTCTGCACAACAGAGCAAACTGCTGAAGCCCAGCAGAAAAGAGCTGTGCTTCTGCCAACACCAAAGCACTGGGTTTTGATGTAGAAAAGAAAAAAAATCCACATCCTTTGGAGACCAGTACATCCCCTGCTGTGTGTCTCACATTCCAAGACACAGTGTTTGATATCAGGCTATTGCCCTCACTAGGGAGCACATCCACAACTAGGTAGAGACCTAACACATCAGCACAGGTCACCGGGTACTTTATACAGGGGTGCTCAATCCAAGTAGTAAACATTGACTGCTCTAGCTCACAACCACCCAGCTGCACCCTTGCTTCACCTCTGAATTATGACACCTCCTGCCATTCTGTCAAACCAACTGGCCTCCTCACCTCCACCAACATTCTCCCACTGGTTGCACTAACAAGGAGCTTATTTATAGCTTACTCTGCAATTCCCTTCCCACCTTATACATACCACCCCCAGAAACCTCTAAAGATGCTGCTGCCACATCCCTTTCCCAGGTTGAGTAACTTCCCCTCTTGGAAGCCTCAGCTTTTCTTACCCATTTCTCTTCCGTTTTCCAAGTGCCAGTACCTCTTGCTGGAGGTGAATCTCAATTCCCAAGGCAGTTGACAGGTTCTCTTAACTTTTACAATCAGAACCACAATTTTTACTTAGCTTCTTTCTCTTGGGGACTTTTTTTTGGGGGGGGGGCAGGTGGTAGGGGGAGGTTTGAAGAACACTCTTATTGAACAGTCCTCTTTTTTTCTCCAAAGACACTAATAATGCAACTAGTAAATTGCACTTAGTGCCAGCAAATCTTAAAGGATCAGAAACTGGATTTGGTTTTTAAGTTCCAACAAGCATTTATTTTCTAGGACATCCTAGAGATCAGATGTCTTCTACCTTCCAGGTACCAAGAGGTAGCAAGACACAAATCAGACTGTGGTCTTTTTCACAGCCTGTAGACAATTTAATCCCAAATTCAAAGACACCTAGTACTTTAAAAACAGATCCCAGTAGAACTCATCGGACTGGAAACAATCATGTATGTTTATTTTGTCACCAGTTCAACCCCATATGGTTCTCCCATCTCTAAAGTTCTGCTGTGTCCTGCCAAAAATCACTTGCAAGTATCTTGTGACAGTCTAACAAGAACATAAGTGCTGATAACAGTGAAACACCAGGACAGTTCTGCTGAGGTTGGAATGCACTGCAAGCACCCCACTTGTCCTAGAAGTCAGATTCTTGGACTGCCCCCATGCACCCCTTGCTAGCCTTCTCTATCAAATCTGATCAAATATTCTTAGTTATTTCTCACTCTTCAGAAAGCATTAGGGACCTTTCCCCAATAATTTAGCCCAAAGCCTATACTTTAAAACACAGACCCTTCTTCCTAAGGGATGTAATTAGACTGTCAAAACCATTTAAAAATTGAGGTTTCTTGGCCATGTGGGGAAGAGAATGAGGAGAGTAGCATGTGGTTCATGAAAAACAAATGTTTGAGTCCAAAAGAAGCAGACCTTGGCACAAGCCATCACAACTGAGAGCACTAAGTCTCACTCATTCTGCCCCAATTTACCTTACCATGTTGCAGAAAGAGAAGCCTGACTTGGTAGGGAATCTCATTGATTTATACTGAAACAAGTGCTTTCAATACATACTAAATCTGCAAACTCACTGATCTCTGTTAGGGAAGTCTGCTTCTTCACCCTCACCATTCCCAAAGCATATAAGATCCAAGGATTTTGAGTATTTCCAGGTTCTCAGTACAGCTCTTTGATAGTGCTGCAACTAAGCTTTGCTTGACGAATTTCCAGTTTGTACCAGTTACAGTAGGGGTTCATCTATGTAGTTGAGCAAGACTGTTTTCAACTCTTTAGATACCTCTGGGTGATGAAGTGGGGCAAAGAACCCTCTCAACACAACTGTAGACAGCAACTGGATAGAAAACACAATCTGAAAAAATTCAAGACAACAGCAACACTCTTAAAGCTGCACAGTGATAGAAATCAGTCACACTGTCATTCATCCATTGCCTTAATTATGGAGAGGGTACATGGAGGAGGAAAACAAAAGTTGGGATTAGTGAAGGCAGGCAAAGACTGAAGGCAAAGAAGCAAGTTACAGTACTGGCCGTTTCATATGATGGTAGGTTTTTCTCCCTCAGGAAAGGAAGAATTGAACTTACAGTGCCATTTTACTGTATTTTCTCCTGTTTCATCACCTTCCATAACTTTCCATCCTATTACTTTGCTAATATTTTTCCCACCCATTTGTGTAGAGTTCAGAGTATTTTTTCCCATTCTTTTAACTACCTATTAAGCAACTCACCTATTAAGCATTTTAAATGTTGAATCAGCATCTTTAAGTTTTATTTTGTGCCTCTCTTGGAACTGCTGTGATCAACTTACCTGACAGTCCCTGGAATGTTACAGCTATCTTCAGGACTACCAGGATTGTACTTTTCTTCTTCAACCACACAGCCTCAATTTCAGCATCTTCACAGTCCATACATATTTCCCTAAACATTATCATTTTCCTTCACATAACTCTAAGTGCTAAGAATGCAAGAACACATAAGTGACAGATATTCCCATATCAAATTCCCTTCAAAAATATACCAGGGAGTAAAAGACAGGATCTTCCTCTGAAACAAACCAACCAAATACATTCACACGGTCGATGTCATGCTTCCCTCTACTGTTTCTCATAAGAAGTGCAGTTAGCACTTAACATTCTAAAGTCTTCCTTAAAAAAACCAAAACAATGTACAAATGAATCTTTATTTGCAGGCAAAACTTATCAAATAAGCTTTTCTTTTCTTTATTAAAAAAATAGAGGCACTGAGCAGAACTATCCCCACTTATCTCAAACTCAATATTACAGAAAATATCAACTACAACACACTAGTGTATTGTCTAATTTTTTGGTTTACAGTCTTTTAAAGTTAACTTCAATGAGGAAAAAGGCTTCAAAGAATAAAGCAATGTCATGAAGAGCAAAAAAATGTCAAGAGCCAAACAATCATCATGGAAATAACTAGTCATGTGTGTCACAAAAAAGTGTTATGTATTTCACATCATTGCTTTCAAGAAATGAATTCCACAGATGCATTAAAACTGTCAAAACAGTAGTGGTCTTTATTTCCATCAGACAAGTTAACACTTCAGTTAATATTAATTTAATTTCAACATTTGGGAGATCTGGAAACAACTTAGAAAAGTGAAATAAACCCCCTTCCAAAAATATACTGCATAATACATGGGTCTGGATTTTATACTGTCCCTCTGATGAGTCCTTTACATTAGGTGACATCACACACGGTCTTGCAGGACAAAATAATTTACAGACTGTTTTTCAGCCTCTCACTTATGAGCCCTCAAGGTGTCCAAGAAAGGCAAGTTTATATGCACTATGCAGCAACCTAAGTATGGAGATTTCAAAGGGGTCTCAGTTCAACTTGAAAAAAATCTAGAGGTACACAAATTCAAAAAAGTAGAAAATACTGTATTGGAATACACACTCAAATTTTAGTGTCCTGTAGGGA